TTCTCCTGCTATGACAAGTCAAAATGTCTGCTGGAAAAGATCTATGAATCTGACTCATTTGGGAACGACGTCAAATAGATGTGTGAAGCTCATGATGAGCAAGCTTTTGACTGGGAGGAAAGAAATAATAGGCGTCGCTCATCTATCAAATGCGTCAGTCAAGTTCAGAGTCTGGAGTTATAGCAAAAGAGCCTTGTGTCTTTTGTGTCTAAACAAAAACAAAGAACACCATGCACTGGCAGTTTGGGAATTTAATTTTCACAACAGAAAGTAATAAAAGAGAAAATTGAGTGAAAAGAAATACAGTTCATGTTTTTGATAATTGATAATCTCATCCTCCCTAGCTCATTTTCTTATTAGTTTCCCCAGTATTGTTACCTCTTAATATGCTGTTAGCATAGAACTAGTCAGAGATTTTGCCACAGTGTTCATACTGTGGTATCTAACCCTGTAATAAATCAAATGGGGATAGGAATATTAACTGGCGCCAAGCAATGGCAATGGTCTTTTAGCCCAGTTTCTTCAAAGCTATATTTGCTGCTATTTTGATATCTGGCGCCTGGTAACAGTATAATTTGTATATTTCCACTATGGAGAGTCTTCAATCGCTCGCCATGGTTACTTAGAGTGATGGCAGTATATTAAAGTCAGTCACTGAAGTACTGAAGATATTTTCTAACAGCTATACTTTCCCTGGTATGAAGGACAACCTGCTAAAGCCTTGAACCAGATCTAACACAGATGTTGTAACTAACATTTCAATTTAAAACGGTCCCCTTTTTTCACGAATCCACCTCTCTACTCTCACACATACACCCGAACTGACACACAGTGGCAGAGTGAGCAGGAGACTGGCCTGGACTGGCCTGGTTGAACTGGGTAAAGTGGAGGCTGCTGGGCGGCGGAGGAGGCGGGCGTCAGCTGCAGGCGAGAGGAGACGTCACCTCTGACACCCTGAAGCTGACAGCTCCACCACCTGAGAACACACACTGAAAACAGCCAGTGTGTACAGTATGGTGTGTGTGCACGCATGTGACTGGAAGCAGGAGAGGGGAGGTACGTGAGACTGAAAAGGTGTAATAGTCAATTGTGAGCGTGTGTGGGCTAACTTATAATGAATTTGTGCTTTTCTGCCTGCCGCACACAGAGGCTGAAGGCAGGAAAGTGTCAAGAAGCAGCTTGAAAAGTCCTCCTGCATCGCCTCTTCACTGTCACTCACACACCCACATATAAGCTCTATCAGATGCTCTCTCTCTCTCTCACACACACACACACACACACACACACTGTACTCTTTTATACTTTTATACTTATGAGGACCCTCATTACCATAATGAAGCCTCCCCCTTTGCACGTCATCTTAACCATCACAACTAAACAGTTAATTCTAAATCTTACCCTAACTGTAACCCAAACCTGATCGTAACCATAACCCTAAACTAGGTCTCTCGAGATGTGAGAACTGGGCGAACTTATTCAAACTGATTCCTCACAAAGACAGAGGTACTAAAACACACACATTAAGTTATGAAATTATATATATTGGTTTTCAGTCTTTACCTCTTAGTTATGCTCATATCCAGTTAGTGGGTGGTACCTCTGATACAGTGATTTATTAGGGCCCAAGCAGTGACTGTGGCCTTATTGGAATCGCTAATATCATTATTGACCGAAATGAATCACATATTTGGTGCTCTAAACATGCTACAAAACTCATTAAATGTGGAATGTCGTGTCTTTATTTCTCAGACACACTGTTTAATTGTCTTCTTAATGCTATGTAAGATGTGGCATTTACCATGTTTCTGGCAGTTCCTTGTTGGGGAGTAGTAGGGATGGGCAGCCAGTTAAGTTAACCTAGTTTGATCTAGTTTATTTTTCATTACGGAGCTAAATACTTGTAATTAGATTTCTTTAATTTTATTATACTGTATCTTTTTAGGTCGGAAGTTAGAATTTTTCTGTCTTATACTACTGCAAGAATAAATCCAATTTTGTCAGTACGCAGGTCAGTATGGGCCACAGAATGCACTGAGTTTCAAGATGCACTGTCAATAAGAATAAGTATGTGTGCATGAGGCTAACCTCCAGAGTGACCTCTTGCTTGGCCATGGCTCTCTCCACTGTTTCGTACATCTGTGTGTTTTGGATGCCGAGGCCACAGAAGATTGCAAAAGCCTCCAGGAACTGCTCATCGTTCCTGTTGAAGGCCTTCACGCTGCCTGATGCTTCGTCCATTTTGTTCACCAACTGACACACACCTACACCGACACACACAGGAACAGACACAAAGGTTGTATTTTTGACACGGGAAGTTTTAGTACATTATCCTAGGTGTTTAAGTGGTTTGAGAACACTGTTGCTATGCGACTGAGAACAAAAGTAAATGTTTCTTTGTATCCTTTTCAAAAATGAAGATGACTTTTTTTGTTTTCTTTTTATTTTACTGTTAAATTTCAAACTAGACCCTGTCAAAATCTAGTTTAAATCCTACAGTATTTTAGTTTTGTGCTTATGTATTGCATATCCCTGAAATCTGGGGCAAGGTTGTACAGATTTAAATATTTCAACTTAAGCAAAACATTTGCACGTATCCCTGGGAAACAGAGAAAGAGGAAAATGAACAGAAAGAACTGGAGTTAGTGAGTCTAGTGAGTTCAGTCAGAGGCTGAGCTGAACAAAAAAAGGTATACTCGCAAAGACATCGGTGCACCCGCTGCTAGCTAGCTCACAGGTAGCGTACAGTTGGGATTATTGAAGCTGGTTATTTCATTTGGACAGATTTAATTTACTTGAATGTCTAAATGATAAGCTGCCTTAACTGGTTGCATTATCCTACAATGAGATAGAACCAGTTTTTGCCTTATAAGGACACAGAAATGGAAGGAACAGAATACTGCATCTCTAAGACTAATAATGTATTCATGAAGCAATAAATGAGCTCGTCTGAATGAATCTGTTAGAGGAGAAGGATGCAGAGCATTTCATTGTAATAAATTGAGCTGTTTTGATCTTGCCCATCACCGGGCCTCTTAAAGGTTGGAGGAGAGGCCGTAAGGACCTGTTTTGTTTCATCACTGAAGGACATCCACGGTCATTAGTCACGTTCATAGCCAACTAATGGAGCAGCTATCGGCTGATTATGC